TTCTTACTGAAGACCTGTCTAAAAGATCAGAGGAACGGCTGATATTTAAGGAATTTTTATCTCCATTTTCCCCCTTGAAGCTTGCTTCATGTGGGCTACTGGTTTGCTATTTCATTTTTCCAGTGTTTAGAAAAATAAGTTACGTTTTGGTGACTATTTCCTTCCTCTGGTCCCTGCTCTTGGCCATGCTGTTTACCTTCCCTGCCTGAGCACCTCCTGCTGGCTCCTCAGGGCTTACTCAAGCATCTTTTTTTTTTTTTTTTTCCCTGTGATTGTTGCCCAGGCTGGAGTGCAGTGGCACGATCTCGGCTCACTGCAACCTCCGCCTCCTGGGTTCAAGCGATTCTCCTGCCTCAGACTCCTGAGTAGCTGGGATTACAGGTATGCGCCACCATACCCGGCTTTTTTTTTTTTTTTTGAGATGGAGTCTTGCTCTGTTGCCCAGGCTGGAGTGCAGTGGTGCAATCTCGGCTCACTGCAAGCTCCGCCTCCAAGCTTCAAGCCGCTATCCTGCCTCAGCCTCCCGAGTAACTGGGACTACAGAAGCCCACCACCACGCCTGGCTAATTTTTTGTATTTTTATAGAGACGGGGTTTCACTGTGTTAGCCAGGATGGCCTAGATCTCCTGACCTCGTGATCCGCCTGCCTCGGCCTCCCAAAGTGCTGGGATTACAGGCGTGAGTCACTGCGCCCGGTCCCACACCCAGCTAATTTTTGTATTTTTAGTAGAGGGTTTCACCATGTTGATCAGGCTGATCTTGAACCCCTGACCTTGTGATCTGCCTGCCTTGGCCTCCCAAAGTTTTAGGAATTACAGGCATGAGCCACCGCGCCCGGCCTCAAGCATCTTAAGCCTCCCTGAACTGCCTGCTTCTCCTCCTCTCTCTTCCCACTCTGGGCTAAGTACTCCCTCTCAAGGAGATCCCGGGCATGCTTCTCTACCTATATCATAGCTCATATTACTTTGAAGTGATGTCTCTTTCTGCATTGAAAATATTTGGTAAGTGTCTGAATCTCCTTTCGGAGAGGAGTACCTGGGCCTTATAGCCTTCACCAACAGAGCAACTGGTATGCAGTAAGTGCTCAGGAAAGAGGAGTCCAGTGAAAATGCCTCCAAAACAGAGTGAACCCATCTCTCAGTCCACCATGCAGGCGATAGTCAGAATCACATGACTAAAAACAACCTACATCCAGATTTATTTATTTATTATTTTTAGTGTTCTCTAATTGCGAAATCTTATTTTGAGGGATGAAAAGTCAGAAAGGTGAATATGAAAATCTAGGTATAAATATAGATGAGCCGGGTGCAGTGGCTCACACCTGTAATCTCAGCACTTTGGGAAGCTGAGGTGGGCAGATCACAAGGTCAGGAGTTTGAGACCAGCCTGGCCAATATGATGATACCCTGTCTCTACTAAAAAAACTACAAAAATTAGCTGGCCGTGGGGCAGGCGCCTGTACTCCCAGCTACTTGGGAGGCCGAGGCAGGAGAATCGCTTGAACCCGGGAGGTGGAGGTTGCAGTGAGCAGAGATTGCACCACTGCACTCCAGCCTAGGCAATAGAGTGATATTCTGTCTCAAAAAAAAATCTATCTATATATATAGATAGATATATAAATAGATATAGATAAATGACAAAATGACCTCGGATAACAAGGATGAAAGTTTGGGTGATGTATCTTCTCTTTCCCAGAGATAGACTTCCTTGGACCTGCCTAATGTTGTCACTATTCATTTTATGTCCCTTTAGGTCAACAGCCAGAAATGGAGACAGATGCTAGCTTCCGTAGCAGCAGGCTGCCTCTAGCAAGTCTTTTTCCAGTTCTAAGCTGGGATCCAAGCCTGTTGTGGGCTACAGTACGCAGGATTTGCACTTCCCTGGCACATGGATCCAATTGGTAGCTGAAATTCCATGTTTATGCAGAAGAACATCTGTAGATTTTGTCTCTAGTACAGCCCAGTTACAACCAGACTTGGTATTTAAAGAATGAAGCAAAGCAACCACAGAAAGAGATAAAATGGAAGAACTCTCTGTCTGGAGTCTTTGTAGTTGTTTCAAATATGAATAGACAGGAAAAGAAAATAGGAAGATAGAGGGTGGGGTTGGGGACAGAGATATGAACATTTATCTACCAGAGCTGGCATATGATCACTCCTGTGTCAGCTTTGGGGTGGAGAGAACCTAGACCATTTAGATCCAGATAGATGTGGGCTCCTGGCTCTGGCATGTGCCTGCTGATGTTGGTACAAGGTTATTCACTGTAACATTGTCTATAGTAGCAAAAGACAGGAAACAACCCTATGCCCACCAATAGAAGACTGCTCCATTAAATTATGGTATGTCCATACAATGGAATACTGTGCAACTGCAAAATAAAAGAATGAGGAAACTCTTTATGTGCTGGTAATGAAAAGATCTCAAGATATTTTGTTGATCTCAAGTTCTTTATGTGCTGAAAGAAAAAAAAGCAAGGCATGGAACAGTATGCATAGTATGCCATGTTTTGTGTAAAAATGGAGAAAAATAAGACTTTGTACTTTATTAACTGGAATATGCATAAAGAAATGCTAAAAGTATACAAGGAACAAATGGTGGTTACCTGTGTTTGTGGCAAGGAGACAGATGGGGGAAACTGACAATCTGGGGGTCAGTAGACAGGAGACTTCGTATTGTATACCTTTCTACTGTTTTGATTTTTTTTTTTTTTATTTTTTTTTTTTGAGCCGGAGTCACGCTCTGTCATCTAGGCTGGAGTGCAGTGGCATGATCTCGGCTCACTGCAACCTCTACCTCCTGGGCTCAAAAGATTCTCCTGCCTCAGCCTCCCCAGTGGCTGGGATTATAGGCACATGCCACCATGCCAGGCTAATTTTTGTATTTTTAATGGAGACGGGGTTTCACCATGTTGGTCATGCTGGTCTCGAACTCCTGACCTCAGGTGATCTGCTCACTTTGGCCTCCCAAAGTGCTGGGATTACAGGTGTGAGCCACCGTGCCTGGCCCCCTTTCTACGGTTTTGATTTTTGAATCATATGACTATATTACCTACTTACAAGCCAAATTAAACAAACAAGCATCATAGCTCTGTCACTGTTACCAGCTGACCCTGGCAAGTTACTTAACATCTTCCAGTCCCACTTTCCACATTAGGGAAATGGGGATATTTATATTTGCCCCACAGGGCTGTGAGGTCACTAAACATCACTGAACAATGGAACATAGAAAGCACTAAACACAGAGCGGGGCGGGGTGCGGGGGAATGGGTGCTCCCAAAGGGTGGGTCATACCCCTTCCCTATAGCAATGCCAGCGTCTCTCAGGCCTGGGCATAATTGTGATGTGTTGGCTAACATTTCTCAAGAAGCACTTCAGGAGCCACTTTCTGCTGCTTGCCTTGTTGTGAATCTGTCCGAGTCCTCACCCCTGTTAAAAATATCCAGTGACCTTAAGAGTTCAAGCACCTCTGAACACTCCTCTGCTAGGCGGGGCAAGCCTCTAGAAACTTCTGCTTCATTTTTCTGCTTGGTTGATTTCTCCCACTCAGCTCCCCCTGCAGAGTCAACTCCCACTCACCCTCCCGGGGAGCAGTCCACACCTCAGGTACCTCACTGTGACGGAAGCTGCTTCATTGAACACTGAACATTCGGACAGTATTTGGGTCCATTCTGTCTCCATCTCGCCCGATTGCCCTCTCTCTCAATCAGTTCTCTGGGCTTCAGAATCCTAGTGAAGTCAGAGGACAGTTGCCTCTTATCGGATAACCAAAACCTTCTGCCCCCAGGCAGTCTCCCTTAGGAGGCCACCTGGCATATCCAGCGCTCCCTTGGTAACTGAGGGGCCCCGGGGTGCTCTAACTTCCAGGCTGGCATGTGATCTCCTGCATGCCTGTGTAGAGAGCCCTCAGCGGGGCGGGAGGATGTGAGGAAAGAACACAGTGTTCCGGGCAGAACAAAGCCAGCTGCAAATTTGCTCAGGCCCTTTCATTTCTTCCTTGAAGGGACCAAGTGCAGCCTCTAGCGGCTGCTTCTGGACATGGTCACCAGGGTCAGAACTGTGGAACTTGTGGGACTTGTTCACCTTAAACTGGGCCACAGCTCTGGAGCCCGAGGAGACAGCAGGACTTGGTGACATAGTTCTCTGAAAACCTTCACCAGGCAGGGTTGTGGTCTGTTCCGCAGGCCCGTGCGTGAGTCAAACTGAACCTGCACCCCACACAGCTCAGGTCCAGGGTTCAGGACCAGGCTAATCTCTGCAGTGAGCTCAGCTTGCTAACCCACATGGGCGTGCAGAACTCCCCCTTGCTCCTTCCTGTAGCTGCGCCCTTGGCCCTCCCAACCTCCCCACCAGCTCTGTTCCCCTTCCCACCTCAATTGTCATGGGCTGTCTGCAGCGTTGGCAGGGGTTTGTAGCTGTTAGTGGCTGCTTTCCTTGAAGTTCTTCTTTGCACAGATCCTGAGACTTGATATTTGTTGAATGAACAACATCAATGCAATTCGAATAAGTGGAAAGCGGACCTGAAGTTGAACCGGACCCATTTGCCTTAATCTATTTTCTAGGTTATTTAAAAACTTATCACATCAACTCTTCTTACAAATTTTGGTATTGTGGAATGCTATGTTGGAAATACTAATCAAATAGATCTCTCTTGTTTCATGGAAGACCAGTATAAATTCTCTGTTCCCTAATGAAAACAAAGCCCCCAAACAAAAACACCAAACATTTGAGCTCTCATCGGGTACATCAAACTATTTCAGGGGCTAGGCACGGCATTTCCTCTAACCCAGAGTGAATCCCTTTAGGGCACTCAAAGGACTGTAGCACAGCATTTACTTTTTTCCACATATTCCTTCAAATTTCTGTTTTCTATATTACCAGCTACTATCCACAGAGAGGCATAAATCCCCTGGAGGAGTCGTATGTGACCCCACGTGATTAACTTTGCATCTGTTTTGCAGCTGTTCACTCTGCAGTTTTATTTTGCCTTTTGGAAAACTCAGAGTAGTGCTTCTTAAATGTTAATGTGCATATGCCAAATCACGTGGGCATCTTGTTAAAATGCAGAGTTTTGTGTTGAGGGTCTGGGGAGGGCTGAGATTGTGCAGTTCTAAGGAGATGCCAGGTGGTGCCAATTCTGCTGCACTGGACACCACACTTAGAGTGGCGAGGTCACTAAATAATAGGAGCGAAAGGATTGTGAGAACACCGACATCAGTGAGAAGGAGGCTGGCTGCGGAGACCATGGTAGGAGGAGTTTTCCTTGGTGATTCTGCTCTTCTCTCCTCGCCCTTTCACTTTCCCTTTCCTTGTAAATATCCTTTACTGTGGTCTTTCTTTGATTAAAGAGAAACTGTGTGAGCAGAGCCAAACGCCACATTCATCTATGGGTAGCATCTATGCTTCTTCAGGTCATCTGGGCTGGAAGAAAACAAAAAAGTTCTGCAGCCAGTGATAACTGAAACAAGTGAGACTTCTGTAGCCTGTGTGTGCACACCCAGAAACAGACCCAAAGCCAGCGGTTTCAGTTCCCTCAACTTTATTTTACTAAAGTGACAGAGAGGCAGCAAACATCTGCAAGGAACCAGAAATCCTTCCTTTACGGTGCTGCAATCTAAAACAGTTTCTCAACCGTGGCGCCGCTGATGTCTTGGGCTGTCTCATAGTTTGCTGACGGGGAGGCCAAGTGTCCTGTGCATTGCAGGCTGTTTAACAGCATCCCTGGACTCTACCCACGAGATGCCAGCAGCACTCCCAAGCTGTGACAACCCAAAATACCTCCAGACATGGCCAGTGTCAACTTGAGGGGCAAAATTGCCCCCTGGTTGAGAACCACTGGTGTAGGATGGGATAAGGTATAATTTGTCAGTTCTACAGAAAGTCTACCTTCCCTATAGGGGAAGAAAGTTTTTTCTTCATACTTGTGGTAATTTCCAAATGTTTCTGTAATAAACATGTTTTACTTTTATAGTTAGAAACAACTATTTGGAAAAAAAAAATAAAATGTTTTAAGAAGAGTTTCATCATTCTTATGCTAGAAATATATATATCTATACACACACACACACACACACACACATATATATATATATATATATATATATATATATATTTTTTTTTTTTTGGAGACAGAGGCTCCCTCTATCGCCCAGGCTGGAGTGCAGAGGCACAATCTCGGCTCACTGTAACCTCTGCCTCCTGGGTTCAAACAATTCTCCTCCCTCAGCCTTCTGAGTAGCTGGGATTACAGGCGCCTGCCACTGTGCCCAGCTAAGTTTTGTATTTTTAGTAGAGACGGAGTTTCACCATGTTGTCCAGGCTGGTCTGGAACTCCTGACCTCAGGTGTTCCATCCACCTCAGCCTCCCAAAGCGTTAGGATTACAAGTGTGAGCCACCACGCCTGGCCCTTGGTGAACTGGTTCTCAGTGAGACACCACCAAGTGAAATTTCCAGATAAGTGAAGCTAAGGCATGTGGGTTTGTATTCTACGCCTCTTCTAACTAATTCGTTCTGGCTTCTAGAGAAAGAGATCTGAGGTTGTCTACACGCAGCAGGAAAGAACACTGTCTACCATGGGTGTGGGTGTGGGTGGAGGTGCCATTATGCTTGCTGTGGATTCATCTTTTTAAAAACTGAATTGCCATCTTTCCTTGCACCCCAACATTTGGTTTGCTCTCAATAAGGCAGTAGCTGTGGTCTAATGGAAAGCATGTTGGCCTCAGGGTCTGAAGATTTGAGTTGGAATCTCAGCTATGCCACTTACTATGACCTTGAATGAGTGGGTCATTGACTGTCCCCTCCTGAGCTTGGACTATGAGCTATTCATTCCCAGCTCATAAGGTGTGTGTGAGGGTTAGAGGAGATGACAGATGAAAGCATCTACTTAGTACCCGGCTTATGGGGAGTGCTCAATCATTTATGTGCATTTATACAACCCTTATTTATTTATCATCCAATAAGTAGGTAACACAAATTTTGGGGCAGGGAATATGATCCTGTACTGAATACTGAGAAAATTTCTGAAGGTGAAAATAGGGCCCTATACGGGCTTGTTCAGGAGAAAGGAAGCATCCTTTCCTTTGGGCCAAACATCCTCTCCAAGTGAAGGTATATTTAGAAGCCTTCAAACTGGCTTCCTGCACTAAGGGAAGAAATATTTGCATTTGTAGAGATGACTCATTAGGGAAGCTCTAATAAGTTCTCAAAGTGTGATTCCTTGACCTGCAGCATCAGGATCACGTGAGAACTTGTCAGGAATGAAATGACAAGGCCATTGGCCAGGCGTGGTGGCTCATGCCTGTAATCCCAGCACTTTGGGAGGCTGAGATGGGTGGATTACGAGGTCAGGAGATCGAGACCATCCCGGCTAACACGGTGAAACTCCGTCTCTACTAAAAAATACAAAAAATTAGCCGGGCGAGGTGGCGGGCGCCTGCAGTCCCAGCTACTCGGGAGGCTGAGGCAGGAGAATGGCATAAACCCGGGAGGCGGAGCTTGCAGTGAGCTAAGATCTGGCCACTGCACCCCAGCCTGGGCAACAGAGCAAGACTCCGTCTCAAAAAAAAAAAAAAAAAAAAAAAGAAATGACAAGGCCAGCCCCTAAAACTCAATCGATTTGTAGGTAAAATACTCAGGCCCTCGCTCATAGGCTTGGTTCTTATAAACTTCAGATGCTTTTAATCCATAGCAGAGAAGAAACAGCATATAAGAAGTCAAGTGGAGCTATTAGAAGGTGGACCAATAAAGGCAGAGATAAGATGACAATCGATGGAGAAAATTCAAATACTAAGTCCAGCCTTAAGCTCTTTAAATGTAGGGTAAACAGTAACATACTTCCTCAATAGCCTATGGTCATTACTTAATATTCTAAAGGGAGTATCTGTAGTGCTGGCCTAGAATTATCAAGAAAAACTTAAACCATGTTTTCGTGTTCGGTTTAAAGTGGTAGGATGGTATAGACTTCAGAAAGTTGTTTTTTTTTTTTTTTGTTTTTTTTTTTTTTTTTTTTTAAGACAGAGATTTGCTTTTCTTGCTCAGGTTGGAGTGCAATGGCGCAATCTCAGCTCACTGCATCTTCCGCCTCCCGGGTTTAAGTGATTCTCTTGTCTCAGCCTCCCGAGTAGCTGAGATTACAGGTGTGTGCCACCACGCCCAGCTAATTTTTGTATTTTTAGTAGAGATGGGGTTTCACCATGTGGGTCAGGTTGGTCTCAAACTCCTGACCTCAGGTGATCTGCCTGCCTCAGCCTCCCAAAGTGCTGGGATTACAGGCGTGAGCCACTGCGCTTGGCCAGAAGACTTTTTTTAAAATAAAAAATATACTTCAAATAACATTTGAGTACGTTGAGGAGTTAGCTCTACTTATTTGGGAATTTTACTTCCTTCCCCCAAGAAACTGATCAATGAGGCATCACTGTAACTTGTTGGGGTCAAGAACCATTCCCCATGCTTTTACCCACTCCTGTTTGACCACACTGTAAGAACTCAATAAATATGTGTTGCTGATTAAGCTTCCCTCTAGGCATGGGGATAAAAATGGGGTAAACTCAATTGTTTTGCAGTTGTCATGCTGTTGCCACCATGCCCGATTATTGCTTTTATCTTCAAAGCCCAACGTTCCCTGCTGATTTCTGTATTGTTTGCTTCTTTCCTTCTTTGCAGAAAATGAAATCTATGCATGGAGTGCAACCTTGCTGAGAATATTTGTTTCCTTTCTATATTGTCTCTCCATGGCCTGCTCGTTCTCTTCAGGTACTACTCATAATTATAGCTCTTCAAGATTCAGTGAATTTCATCATTCCTTGTTACCAGTTATGAAAATCACTGATTGTTTCAAGGATTGGTTATCTGTCGAGATGACTTATTAGGGAAGCCCTAATGAATTCTCAGAGCAAGGTCCCTGGACCAGCAGCATTAGAATCACCTGGGAGCTTGTCAGAAATGCAAATGTTCAGGCCCCACTCAGACCTGCTGAATTAGAAACACAAGGAATGGTGCCCGGAAATCTTGGTTAACAAGACTGCCAGGTGATTCTGATGCCTGTTCAAGTTTGAGGTTGGCTGTTCTGGAGTACCGTCCTTTATCTCACCCCTTACGGTACCACAGGAAGTGGGTGGGGGTGGGAGAGACAAGTTGTCCTCAGTTCAGAATATTTGGAATATAAACCAAAAGAGATAACTAAGCTTAGTAGAAACAACACAGGCTGAGATAAACCTCGGCTTAAATTCTGGCTCTGCCTACATGTCTTTGAGCATAGCATTAACACACCCTAAATGTCATTAACCATTTTGTGACTCAGTATCCTTAATACTTTGCAGAAGCTAAATGTTAGGTCTCTTGCCCTTACATTGTTTAGGCACTAGAAGTGTTTCCACTTGGAAAAATGTGTCTTCCTATGAAAACCACATTTAGTGCCCAGAACCAAATGTATCTGAAATACTAACTTGGCATTATACTTTAGGTATATTATGAGTTAAAAACACACTTAACAGGCTTTTGTATGCTAGCTTGGGAACTTTATTATCCATTTATTTAATCATTTAGCCATGCCTTTTAAAAAAGCACAATACAATTTCCCTATGGGGAAATATATTCCAAGTTCCAAAAATGTAATTTACGTATAACTTCTGTTCATTGGATGTCTCTATGCATCCGTTGTATCTTTAATGTAATCCAGATAGTCAAACTCAAGGAGCAGGGATTTGGAAGCTCCACACAATTAGTATCTTTCCTCAAAACTAGTAAATAGTCTTTGTAACTAAGTAAAACTCAAAAGTTGTGACTTGTTTTCAGTACTGACTATGCTCAACTGAAAAGGAATAATAAGACATTAGGGCAAACCTGGGCTGACTGAGGCATAGAAGAAAACGGAAACACAGAGTTTGGGCACCTGTTTGGCCATGAAGCCACATCCATTGTCTGCAGGGTAAGTTCTCACTGAGCCTCCTAGCACCTTAGCCACCACATCATAAGGTGACTTCAATGCTGTAATTCAAGGGCAAGAGCTCTAGACTTTTGAAATGAACCACTCATATTTTTTTTTCTAAGAGGAAATGCACAAATTGTGAAAAGAGAGCTCAGCTTTTGTTCTAGATCTGTAAGTTTTCTCCTCTTTAAAATTGGCCTGAGCCAGGCGTGGTCCCAGCTAGTCGGGAGGGACCTGTAGTCCCAGCTAGTCGGGAGGCTGAGGCAGGAGAATGGCTTGAGCCCAGGAGTTTCAGGCTGCAGTGAGCTGTGATCACACAGCTGCACTCCAGCCTGGGTGACAGAGCAAGATGTTGTCTCTAACAACAACAACAACAAAATTGGTCTGTGAAAATTTAAATAAAGACTGCCAATTTGTGTGAAGCAGTGTGGTATAGTAGGTAGCATGTGCCTGAGGGGCAGAGGTCTGAGTAACCCTGGCCTTATTTCTTGCATATAATCTGATTTTCTTTTTTTTTTTTTCTTTTGAGATGGAGTCTCGCTCTGTTGACCAAGCTGGAGTGCAGTAGTGTGACCTCCACCTCCTCGGTTCAAGCCATTCTCCTGCCCCAGGCTCCAGGGTAGCTGGGACTACAGGTGTACGCCACCATGCCCAGCTAACTTTTTTTTTTTTTTTTTTTGAGACGGAGTCTCACTCTGTCCCCCAGGTTGGAGTGCAATGGCATCATCTTGGCTCACTGCAAGCTCTGCCTCCCGGGTTCACGCCATTCTCCTGCCTCAGTCTCCCAAGCAACTGGGACTACAGGTGCCCACCACCACGCCCGGCTAATTTTTTGTATTTTTAGTAGAGACAGGGTTTCACCGTGTTAGCCAGAATGGTCTCGAACTCCTGACCTCAGGTGACCCATTTCCCCCCCACCACCACCACCTCAGCCTCCCAAAGTGCTGGGATTACAGGTGTGAGCTATCGTGCCTGGCATGATCTGATCTTTGACAAGTGATGCAACCTCTTTCAGCCTAAGTTTTCACATCTGTAAAGGGGTAATAATAATACTAATGATACTCAACCTTCCTAATTCTCAGGGCTATTGTTGTAAGGAACAAATAAGAGGATGTATATGAATATCTTAACCAGTCTATGCGGACATGGAATATTGATCTAGGAAAAAAACCTAGAAAGTCATCAAGTGGAGCTTTTTTGACCACAGGGGGCTTTTCTGATAGCAGAATGAACAGGAAGTAACCACAGATGGAATGGACTTGCATAATGAGAGAGATTTTTCCAGCCAACATTTAACCCCTTTTCCTGCTTACAGCCAATGACTCTCAATAGCTGGAGAAGGTGTTCATGTATGTTTCTCACAGGTGGTTTTAGGGGAGTTTCTGCAGAGGGCATTTGTGTGGAACTTTTCAACAGTTAGTGAGAATAAATTAGGGCAGTAGAAATACAGTTGAAGAATCTGAACTTGAAAAACTGTAAACGGCAAAGCCATACAAAAGTGAACCTAGTGAAACAGTAAAGTTATGTTTGTCCTGTCACTCATGACTGCCCTTGCCCGTCCAGAGGTCTGAAGGTTTAGTCTCTGAAGGGATCAAACAGAGAAGCCTCTGGATGGGATGCTTGAGACTTATTTGTGGGTGTGAGCACAATACCAGTGAATGCCATGCCAAAAACAGGGATTGAATGGCTATATGCACACTCAATTCAGAATGGAGGCCGGGTGTGGTGGCTCATGCCTGCAATCCCAGCACTTTGGGAGGGCAGATCACTTGAGGCCAGGAGTTGGAAACCAGCCTGGCCAACATGGCAAAACTCTGTCTCTACTAAAAATACACAAATTAGTTGGGTGTGGTGGGACGTGCCTGTAATTCCAGCTACTTGGGAGGCTGAGACATGAAAATCATTTGAGCCCGGGAGGTGGAGGTTGCATTGAGCTGAGATTTCACCACTGCACTCCATTTTGGGTGACAGAGGGAGACTTTGTCTTTTAAAAAAAAAAAAAATCCAGAATGAAGGGACTCATTGTCTTGTTCCTCCAACAAGAACGTTGGTACCAAGGACATTACCTCTAGGCAGGAGGATAGAAGGCTTCTCTTTAAGAAATTGACAAGATCAAGAAAAAAATGCCTGAATATACTGACATCAGTGTTTTACCCCAACAGGTACCATCTATACAATCCTAGAATGAAGTTCAAAGTCAACAAAGCTCATCATGTGCTCAGAGTTTCAAATCAGGTTTTCTTCTCTACTGGTTAGTATAAGTAGATGGCCAAGAAGTACTAGCTATCTGAGAAAGTCTCTAACATGATAGGTTGGAATGAAACAAGCAAAAAACCCACAACAGCTTAGAGAATATACAGGCAAGACAGGGAGAAAATGAAGTAATAGAAAATAACCTATTATTAAAAACCTCAGAAGGAAAGGAAAAGATACTCCATCTATGGAAAAAAAATCAAGATGCTGTCTATAAAAAGAAATATTTGGAGGACAAAAATGTGCTTCTGGAAATTAAAAACATGATACTAGAAACTAGAAACTCAGTAGAAGAAAAGGAAATCACCTGGAAAGTAGAATAAAAAATATAGAAATGGAAACTAAGCTAAAAGCGCAAGAAAGTTAAAGGATCAGGAGATCTAATATCTGAATAATGTGAGTTTCCAGAGTGAAAAGAACAGAGAACACAAAGAGGAGGAAATCATCAAAGAAATAGTTCAAGAAAATTTCTCTGCATTAAAAGACATGAGTTGTCAGATTGGAAGGGTCTGTTGAATTTACAACAGAATGAGTAAAGACAGATTTACAACAATGCCCATGTTGTGAAGTTTCAGAACACTGGGAACAAATAAGTTTCTACAACCTTCCAAAGGAAAAAAAAAATATCATTTTTTTGTATTTATCATACAAAGGATTGGTAACAAAAGTGGCTTTGAACTTTTGAGTCACAACCTTGAAGACAAGAAAATAAGAGCAGTGCCTTCAAAATTCTGAAGGAAAATTATTTCCTTTCTAGATTTCTATACATAAACTATCACTTCGATTTGAGAGGTGGAAAACTACATTTTCAGATGTGTAAAATCTGTAAAACTGGGTCTTATGCAACCTTTCTTAAGAGGAATTAGGAGATCCAGTTAGAAGAGAGTCCCCTGGAGGATGAGGAGATCCCAGAATGAGAGCTGTGCCAGTGATGCAGATTAGAGGAGTTGACTAGAGAGACAGACTGAGTGCTGTCATCAACAATTCCTCTGCTGACATTTACTTTTTTTTCAACTTTAGGAAAGCATGCCTGGGTTTCATACCAGCTTCTAATCTTGTCTTGACCACATATTGATGAAATTCCTACATCACTGCTGCTTAGACCTTCTAAGGTCATTTATTTCACCCCACAGATTTTTTTCTGTTTTCATTGACTCCTGAAGGCTAGTTGGCAAGGACTGAGGTCAGGTTACGGCAGGTTTAGAAGAAGAAAATACTCAATTCAGAGTATAGTCCATCCATTCAGAATGCTAGACATCCTTTGCCTGGCCCACAGGACAGTCCTGTCTGATGGCCCAGTTGTAGCAAGCCCTATGTTACTGAGGACTCACTGGTATGCCTGACCCTACGACTTCACTGGAAGGGGCTCTCATAAACATTCAGGGCAGCTGGAGACAAAGTGTGACCTGGAGACATCTTCAGCTTTTCTTTTCTTGGAAGCCTTCATCTAAAAGTTGTGATATTATCTGCGTTTTGTTGTTGTTGTTGTTTGTTTGTTTGTTTAGACGGAGTCTCTGTCGCCCAGGCTGGAGTGCAGTGGAGGGATCTCGGCTCACTGCAACCTCCACCTCATGGGTTCACGGCTTTCTCCTACCTCAGCCTCCCGAGTAGCTGGGATTACAGGCGCCCGCCACCATGCCCGGCTATTTTTTTTTTTTTCGTATTTTTAGTAGAGATGGGGTTTCAACGTGTTAGCCGGGGTGGTCTCCATCTCCTGACCTCCTCATCCGCCCACCTGGGTCTTCCAAATTGATGCCACTGCGCCCGGCCGATATTATCTGTTCTGTACAGGGCTAGGGTTGTACTGACTACTGAGTTTTTCAAAATGAAACAATTATTTCTTAGGGGTACATACATTTGTGCTACAACTTAAAATGCAAAGGAATGTGTAGCATTAAAGTCAGAACAGTGGTTAATTCCCTGGGGAGTGAGGGAGAACAGAGTGCAATTCGGGAAGGGCAGGGAGTATACTTTAAAATGACTTGTAATGTATTAATATTTTTCAACCTAGGTGGTGGGTACATCCTTGTGTAATTCTTACTATTTTGAAAGTGTAGGTTGGGCCTAGTGGCTCACGCCTGTAATGCCAGCATTTTGGGAGGCCGGGGAGGGCAGATCGCTAGATCGCTTGAGCTCAGGTGTTTGAGACCAGCCTGAGCAACATGGTGAAATCCCATCTCTACAAAAAAATGCAAAAATTAGCTGGGTGTGGTGGCATGTGCCTGTAGTCCCAGCTACTTGGGAGGCTGAGGTGGGAGGGTCACTTGAGCCCAGAAAGTTGAGGCTGCAAGTGAGCCAAGGTTACACCACTGCACTGCAGCCTGGGCAACTAAATGAGACACTGTCTCAAATAAAAGTGTACACATACATTTTATACATTCTTCTCTATTATCTATATTGTAACACAATTTTTAAAAATTATTTTTAATTTTTATGGATACATAATAGTTGCATGTATTTATGGGGATACATGTGATACTTTGATACAATCATGTAATGTGTAATGATCAAATCAGGGTAATTGGAATATCCATCACTTCAAACATTTATCATTTCTTTGTGTTAGGAACATTCCAATTCTACTCTTTCATTGATTTTGAAATGTGAAATAATTATTGTTAACTATTGTTTCCCTATTGTTATGTCAAATACTAGATCTCATTTTTTTTACCTAACTGTATTTTTTACCCATTGACCAACTCCTCTTTGTCCCTGACCCCACTACCCTTCCCAGCCTCTGGTAACCATCCTTCTACTCTCTATCTCCAAGAGTTCGATTTTTTTTCTGCTCCCCCATATGAGTGATGACATGTGGTATTTGTCTTTTTGTGCCTGGCTTATCTCACTTAACATAATGTCCTCCAGTCCCATCCATGTTGTTGCAAATGACAGGATCTCATTCTTTTTTCATGGCCAAATAATATTCCATTGTGTATATGTATCACATTTTAAAATCCATTCATTTGTTGGTGAACATTTAGGTTGATTCTCTGCCTTGGCTGTGAATAGTGCTGCCATAAACATGAGTGCAGATAAGAGTGCATAAGAGAGTGGATATCTCTTCAATATACTGATTTCCTTTCTTTTGGGTATGTATCCAACAGTGGGATTGCTGGATCATATGGTAATTCTATTTTTAGATTTTTTGTGAACCTTCATGCTGCTCTCCACCTTGTCTGTACTAATTTGTATTCTTACCACCAGTGTATGAGGGTTCCCCTTTCTCCACATCCTTGCCAACTTTCGTTACTGTCTGCCTTTTGGATAAGAGCTATATTAACTGGGGCGAGATGATATCTCATTGTAGTTTTGATATGCATTTCTGTTATGAGTAATGAGACTAAGGATTTTTTCATAAAATTGTTGGTCATTTATATGTCTTTTTTTTTGAGACAGAGTCTTGCTCTGTTGCCCAGGCTGGAGTGCAGTGGCACGATCTCGGCTCACTGCAACCTCCGCCTCCCAGGTTCAGGCAATTCTCCTGCCTCGGCCTCCCAAGTAGCTGGGATTACAGGCACGTGCCACCACACCCAGCTAATTTTTGTATTTTTAGTAGAGATGGGGATTTTGCCATATTGGCCAGGCTGGTCTTGAGCCCCTGACCTCAAGCAATCTGCCCACTCCGACCTGCTAAAGTGCTGGGATTACAGGCATGAGCCACTGTGCCTGGCCTCATTTTATATGTCTTCTTTTGCGAGATATCTATTCAGATCTTTTGCCCATTTTTAAATTGGATTTTTCTTTTTTTGCTGTAGAGTTGTTTGAGCTCCTTATATATTGTGGTTATTAATCCCTTGTCAGATGGGCAGTTTGCAGATATTTTCTCCCCTCTGTGAGTTGTCTCTTCACTTTGTTGATTGTTTCTTTTGCTGTGCAGAAACGTTTTAGCTTGAGATGTTCCCAGTTGTCTACTTTTGCTTTGGTCACCTGTGCTTTTAAGGTCCTACTCAGGAAACATTCGCCCAGGGCAATGTCCTGGAACATTTCCTCAGTGTTTTCTTTTAGTAGTTTTATAGTTGTATGGCTTCAGGTCTTAGATGTAAGTCTTTAATCCATTTTGATTTGATTTTTTTTTTTTTTTTTTTTTTTTTTTTTTTTTTGAGACTGAGTTTCACTCATTGCCCAGGCTGGAATGCAATGGCATGATCTCGGCTCACCGCAACCTCTGCCTCCTGGGTTCAAGCGATTCTCCTGTCTCAGCCTCCCACGTAGCTAGGATTACAGGCATGTGCCACCATGCCAGGCTAGTTTTGTAGTTTTAGTAGAGACAGGCTTTCTCCATATTGGTCAGGCTGGTCTCGAACTCCCAACCTCAAGTGATCCTCCCGCCTCGGCCTCCCAAAGTGCTGGGATTCCGGTGGGAGCCACCGCAATCAACTGATTTGATTTTTATATACGGTGAGAGATAGGGGTCTAGTTTCATTCTTCTGCATATGGATATCTAGTCATAGTAGAGTTTTGAAATACAAATGGACCCAAAGTTATGCAGCAGATGGGGGGATTCCTAGAGTGGATGCTTGAGTTATGTTGAGCCCCAAACCCCAAGGCTTAAGATAGAATTATTCTGGTTCTGATAGGGGCGAGGAAACTCCCAATTCCTCAGTATTAAATTCTCCTAGGAAGCTGTTTTCTGACTTGCAGTGGCCTGTTCTGCAAGGACCGAGTCACGGGAAACATCAAGAAAGATGTGGTTAGTTCTTTTCCAACTGCTGGACTGCTGGAATATTCTCTGCCTTGATTCAGATGTTACTGGAGTGGGAGGGAAGCCCCTAATTATAGTCAGTTACTGACTCATATCCATACTTTGCTCATGGTTATTTCTTCAGAGAAGAATATATGTGGTATTTTTGCCTACTGAGTGCGCATGTGTGTGTTGTTCATCATCTCTCCACAACGTCTTTACATGACCTTTAGCTGTAGGGTTGGGCCTTCCTAGGAGCTCTTAAGTCAGCCCCAGCTGTGCACACTGCTGCTGGATTGCTTTCATAGGCACACCCAGAATGTGGGTGTGGCTTTGAAATATACAGCTCTCTGGGGTGTCATTTCACACTACCTGCTGTGGTCAGTAGTAACTGAACAGGATCTGGAACCACACCTGCTCCTAGGAACTAGTCAGGACTCCCTAGGTTATAAGAAGCAGAAGCCCAATGCACAGATTTAAATGCAGAAAAGACATACCGGCATGCTTAACTGCACACGCGTTGAAGGAGATTCAGGTACAGCTGGATCCAGGCCCCCACAGGATCACTGGAAGCTATTTCTATCTGCTTTCTTCTGTATTGGCTTCTTTTCAGGTGCACTCTCCCCCATCTGGTGACCTGGGGCAGTTACAGTCTTGTATTAACATTTTACTTGCTTATTAACTCCAGTAGTTTTTATATACTGAGTTCTTTTTGAATTCTCTGTCTCTCAATAATTCTTATGGAGACTTTTAATGGTCCAGTTAGGGCTATGTAACCATCTCTGAAGCAATCGCATTGGCTAGGGCGATAGAGTGGTCTCACCAAGAGGACACACATGCTCACCCCATTTCTGAGGGAGGGGCTTAGATCCACATGACACGGATTGAGAAAAGAAAGGTAGTTTTTGTTATAACAACTATTTGTACATACAAACTTCTCTGGAGTGAATTTTAGTTAACTAATTTTTGAATACAGTGATGTTTGAAATGATAGATTATAAATCTAGTTTGTGAACATCGTCTTCCTCCCTAGCCATATTTTATGAATTTCCACACTTAATGAAAACATGCTTTAAAAACATAGAAGTTTTCAATTCAAATGAGTAAGAAAGTTTCTGTGCCGGGCGTGGTGGCTCATGCCTATAATCCCAGAACTTTGGGAGGCTGAGGTGGGCAGATCACTTGAGGTCAGGAGTTTGCGACCAGCATAGACAACATGGTGAAACCTTGTCTCTACTAAAAATACAAAAATTAGCTGGGCATGGTGGTGGGAGCCTGTAATTCCAGCTACCTGGAAGACTGAGGCAGAAGAATCACTTGAACCTGGGAGGCAGAGGTTGCACTTACCCGAGATCCTGCCACTACACTCCAGCCTGGGCGACAGAGCAAGACTCTGTCTCAAAAAAAAAAATAAAATAAAAAATATATATATATACACACACACACACACATATATGTATTAATAAAGTAATTGGGCAGCAACAGAGCTCTTTTTTTTTTTTGAGACAGAGTCTCTCCCTGTCACCCAGGCTGGAGTGCAGGGGCGCGATCTCGGCTCACTGCAAGCTCTGCCTCCCAGGTTCACGCCATTCTCCTGCCTCAGCCTCCCCAGTAACTGGGACTACAGGTGCCCGCCACCATGCCTGGCTAATTTTTTATTTGTATTTTTAGTAGAGGCAGGGTTTCCCTGTGTTAGTCAGGATGGTCTCGATCTCCTGACCTCGTGATCTGCCTGCCTCGGCCTCCCAAAGTGCTGGAATTACAGGCGTGAGCCACCGCGCCCGGCCGCAGCAGAGCTCTTATGTCTTTCTATTGAATGGAAGAAAAACTCAACAGAAGAAATCTACTGCTTCTG